CACAGGACGTTGTGCTTTTACTGTTTCTGACTGTGTGCATCGTTACACTGCTGAGTTGGCGTAATCAACATCAGCAGCATTGTTTTATTGGTTCCATTACGTTTCATCAATCACCGTTATCTGTGCGGAACATCAGCATCCATACATCTTCATCAAAGGGAAAAACAATTCATCACAGTCACACAGTGACTACGAATAACGCCGCGTGTTAACTGCAGCGTGCTGCTCGAGTGTGTGTGTACCTTGAGTAACAACAGTGAGCAGCACCGTGCTGGTCTGCATCCCTAGATCTGTGTTGAAGGTGCAGCGGTAGAGACCCCCGTCGTCCTGCACCACACCTGTCAGGTGTAGCTGGACGTCCAGGCTGTCCTCACATATGACCTGTCCCCTGTCGCTGTAGTCTTCACTCACCAGGTCCCCCTCTACCTGCTTACACACACCGATGATGCTCCAGAGTTGGTGGTAGGGCATCCTCTCCAACATGCTCTGGTAGACAGTACCGTTGTGTGTGTGGTTACAGGTGATGGTAATGTTGTTGTTCTGCACAGCCACCAGCTCCACGTCTGCCACGATCACCTCCGGGGTTGGGGAGTCGACGCCGACTTCATGTTCCTCTTGACTTTCTTTGGGGGGCTCATCTGAAAATGAAAATGAAACAGTGAACATCTGGACCAAAAAAACAAATGGCTGTCCACTGTGGCCACATTTCAGGTAAAGTAAAATCAAGTTAAGTAATAAGCAATAATAAAAAAACAGGTCCAGTCTCTTAATTTTATTCTAGTGCTACATCTACAGATAAAGAAGCAGTATGTAACACTGGCACAACACCAGACCTTCAAAAACACAAAGTAAAATAAGTTGAACTCTGGATTTAATCAGTTTGTTTTCAAAGTGTAGGGCGGGACCTTAAGCAGAGGTAGAAGGGGAAATTCATTTTGATTTTCTACCTTTTTTCAATGAGAATAGTAGTTTTGGAGTTGAGTTTTGAAGCATTAGCTTTGAATGTGTGTGTGTGGTTTCTTACACAAACACACACCCTTTTTGCTGGTGTGAGAGTGAAGAAAAAGACTTACATCCTTTATTGGGCTTAAATTGAGAAATTATAACTTCCCTAACCCTAACCCTAACCCCTCACCGTGATCCCTGGCCTGTGAATAAAGCTGCGTCTTTGGTTTCTCTCTCAGTTCCCTAATGAACACAAACTACCCAAAACTGTTTACTGAAAACATTTTAAATGACTTTTAGTTCTAATAGTCATGAAAGAAACCTTTTATGTTGAACAGATTGCTGTGCATGTTTGGGCTGCAGATCCTCTCCTCCTGGCTGGGCCACAGTATGATTTGTTTACAACTTTACCTAAATCTTCCACTTGAATGTTCCTGGTCCAGGGTCCTCTGGGAAAGGTCTGCACAGAGCAGCTGTACGTTCCAATATCTTGGTGAGTGACGTTTCTTATGGAGATGCTTCCGTCCATAGGCGTAGTCTTAAGGAACTCCACCCTCCCCAAATATTGGTGAGAGAAGGCCAGTCCTAAATCTGGATGGAAAATAGCCACTGGATTCTTGTCTGGGATTCTGGTCCAGGACACCAGGCTGAGGTTTCCTTCCCACGGACACAGACAGTCAAGAACCATGCCTTCCTCCAGCCGCACTGTTACAACCTCGTTCTGCTGAACAGCAACTGGGGACAGTGCAATTTAATTATGGCCTAAAAATCATCACATTTTTAAAAGTTGTAGCTTTGAAAAAAAACCTTTAAATTTACATTTAAAATTAAGTGTAAAATCTGCTAAAATGGGATTACATACAATGAATGCATTTGTCAGGATTCTGAATTGAATTTGGTCCTCAATATCATGAACATGGTATTGACAGGTTGCAGCTCACTGCCCTTGAAGATTCATTTAAAAATGAAATCCAGCTAATTAGGAATCTGGTGACAATCTTTTCAAAATCTTTCTAAAACTATTCCATTGTTAGCCCTCATTATTTTAATAAAGATAAATATGTGAATAATCTCCATACCTTTAAGAAAAGGGAGAAAGATGAGTACCACAAAGTACCAGTGGTCCTTTTGTACAGCGTCCATGTTGCACCACCGCTAGAGAATGAAAGCAGCATTGATGAGGGTGAGTGGAGGCACCCGGGCTGCACTTCCTGCTAACTCTGCAGCTACAAATAAACACTTGAGCTGCTAATGCTCTCTACCACCTCCCACTGTTAGCCCATCTCACACAGAGCCCCGCTTCATCACTGGCTATGGTTGATGACATGCATGCTGATTGCATAATGTTACATGGACCGGGGGTAAGCTGACATTTAGTGTGTTGTACCAATGTTATCTTCAAGTGATCTGCATTCAGGGTGTTTGGAAGGCTATGCTAATCTCCATAGCTACACGTGTAGATTGTTTTGGTCGAAAACAAGATGTTGACATAAAGCAGGATTCCTTCTAGCTTGATTTTGTATTCCAAATTATGTTGGGGGCGAGGCAAGAGAGGGCAGAGGCCGGGAGAGTTCACAATCACCTTGTTTTAATGGTTCTAGATTATTTTTAATTAAATTTCTCAACCATGACTCAACATAAAATCTGGCTCATTATGATTAGCAAATGTGATGTGACATTTTCTTCACCTAAAGAAAGGTAATGTTATTGGCTCAACTTGCAGCAGGAAATCAATGATCCTTCACCTGCTTAGCATCAACTTTGTGACATTTCCATTAGGTCTGTTGGCATGTGAACGTTAGCAATTACTTTTCAAGCATTGTTGTGCTTTGGTGCAACCTGGCTCGGTCCATTTGCAATGACGACAGCGCCAACGTGTTTTACTTTGCTTTTCTCAAGAAGCTTTAATGTTTAAATTGTTTTAATTTAGTAGGTATAAAACATGATACAAAACAAAACCGCAGAAAATGTGTTCAGATATTTAGAAGCTGAGAGAGGTTTTCAAGGCACTTCAGCAGGTAGCCACTTAGTGGATTTAGCATTTTTTCTGCATCTGCAGGTGAAGTAGAAACACAAAAATCAAAGTTACAGGATGGTTCAGGGACAAAAACTAATATTTCGATGAAACATAAAAAAAGTAATTAAATTCCTACCTTTCTTAGACATAATATGAGCCTCCTCCAATCTGACACGTATAGAGGGACATTTCAAAGTTGTCCTGGCCTGTGAAGATAAAAAAGTAGAAATTAACAATTTAGCTTTTTTTTTATTGGACAACAGCAACGGGTGATAATCACAAAAATAGATTTTTAAGAAGATTTATTTAATTACATGTAAAGTGACTCAAGGCACTAAATCATGATGACTTTAAAGAGAGTACCAGGTACTAAAACTTTTCAATAAGACAAAGTGCAGCTGATCAATGTCTAACATCCATCGAAGCAAAGAGCGTGAAGCCACGAGGATTCAACTTAACACATAACCAATTAACTCAAAAAGTGCGCAATAAGCACAAGCACAAACATTTAGTGCGTGGGCGCATGTGCATGTGAGTGTGTTCCTGTGTGTGTGTGTGTATACCCTTTGATTGTTATGGAGCAATGCCCAAAGTGCAGAAGATCCCATACAGCGAGTTTCTAGGTCTTTACTTTCCAGAGAGTGAAGCACAGCTTTCATGGCTTTTTCTGTAAAAATCAGAGGAGTACATCATTTGTCATCCAGAGAAAATTCTAGAAGATCACTCATGACAGAAATACAGAAAACTGATTAATAAATATTTTTACATGACAGAAAATAAATACCAGGGAAACAAAAACTAAAACATATAACAAGCCCTGCAAAAAGAAAAAACTTAGATTATAATTATATACATTGAAAACCCCCCAGAAAGCCACATTTATACCATGTGAAAAATTTGAACATATAATGACAAATGTTATAGACACAGGAAATGTGGTCTTCACACAGGAAATAAAAAAACCCATTACAACCGATTCAGACCACCCGGGCCCCTCAATTCCCACCTGCAGTTTGCATCATACTGTGCATGTGTGGCATCTACGCAATCTGCATTTTCATCTGTTCTGTAACCTCCGCTTTCTTTTTTCCATCTGCAGAGCTATTCATCATCACACAAACATCACACCTTTTTTTTTCACTGACTCTGAATAGGAAATTAACTTTCAACATTTCAATCAGTGACTCAACTGTACTGTTTTAAGGGGTGTATCTGGTGATACGATACATATCATGATACAGGAGCAACAGTACCAGCTTATAGTATTGCAGTATAGAGCAGTATAGCTCTATACTGCAATACTATAAGCATGACAATATGTTGAGTGAGTTGAGTACTTGGAAATGTATGCGGTCCCTGCACTACTAGTGGTTAGAGGTTTAAATGCAACACAAAAATTAACCAACACCATGAATATTTGCATGATTGTTAATAAAGAACTGATACAGTGCTGTAGAGTATCAATACAGTAACGTGAAGGAAATATCGCAATATTTCAGTATATCAATATTTCCTTACACCCTTAGTTTATATGTAGCTGTAGCGTTTTTTTTTTTTTTTGTCTAATCGTCAGAAAGACGAGAGCCTGCAGCTGTTTAGCTGGTAATTTTATTTTGAAGTGATAGCTTTGGTCGAAAGGCTTATTTTTTAAGAAGAAGATGAACAAATCAATAACTCTCACAACTTTGCCCAAAGCAGGATGAGCTAAGCCGAGCATAAATACTGAAAGCAGAGGAAAACAACTAATCTAATTACAACACAAAGGACAGTATTGATCCTTTCACCTAAATCAAGGCAAGAAAATATGTTTAATAGATTTTTGTTCTGCCTTTTGTCTCAGCAACTAAAAAAACTGCATGTTTAAAAGGCTGTTTTTCTCTGTTGTTCTAAATGCTTTGGTTTTCAAGCATCACATGAATTTGTTGGAGCCCTGCATCCTTGTCATACCATTGGCAATGATGTGTGGCTTGTTGGCAGGGCAGAAGCAGAGGTTGTGAAGAGTGAGCAGAGCATGGCGCCGGTGAGGTGCCAGGTCGGCCAGCAGTTCCAGGACCCCGCTCACCCTAAGGATACACTGCTGGATGTCCTCTGCCAATGAAAGGTTGAGCAGCAGTTTCAACCACAGAGTCAGTAGGTTTCCTGCACCTGCCGCAGCTGTGGCCTTAACACCACCCGCCCTGGGCAGTGGCACTGAGGTGAGGGCCTGCAGGAAGTTATTCTGAGGATGAAGTATTTCAGTGTCACAGGTTAAAACAGAAACAGAAATAACAGTGAAGAGTTTGGTGTTTTTTCTATTTTTTTAAAGACCTTTTGAAAGACGCCTCTACAGTCACGGGAAATAGCAAGGTTGGTCAAAAGAGCGAATGCTAGCTTCTGGACAGAGCTGTTGTCTTGGGCGACACATGAAGCCAACTTCATGACTGAGAGCATCAGAGAACCACTGGATGTGCCTTTGGATCCTGACGGAACAGTCGCACAGACATAACTGCATGCTGGGAGAGAGAAGAAGCACAACACAACCTGTAAATATTTAAATCGGGGTCTCAAACACTGAGGACAGGGTCACTGCTTCCACTGTCGTCGTATTGGAGGGCAAACAGATGTGGTCAATGGGCCAGAAGTTGGACACCCATTAGGAGAGTCATATATATATACTAATACTAATATAATCTGAATATTTAGTGCCCTTACTCTGTATACCCATGCAGCCACTATTAGCATCAACAGAAGTTAAATATAAACAAAAAGGAAACATTTTTCTCTTCTGTCGGGACTGGTTGGATTATTTTGTCACTCCACACCATAACATTTTCATGGCTGACGACAGATCATATTTGTTATGTAAAAATGGTTAATCATGTAACAAAATAGGGTTGAGCATCAGGCTAATCTAAGCACGCAGCTCTGAATTATTTTCATTTTTTTTTCAAAAAAACTGAATGGAATGTCATTTGTTTGTTCACAATAACAAAATTGTGTTAAATCACATTTCCCAAAATATTTTCTGCATTTAAAACTCTCAGGATAACAATGTACAACATGAAGTTATTACATCAATTATTTTCACCACCTCTGGAAATTACTGTATTTTTTTTTTTGCTGTATTTTTCAGATGAATTTCATTCCAACATTCTGAGGTCACTCTGATCCATAAACACAATATATGTGGCACAAAATGAAATGTCTCATTTCTTCCTCATTTCACACCATAGCTGACATAGGTAATTGCTGCTGTTGCAGATTACATGCAAAATACAACAGATACGACCTGACAATGATTGATGGTGCTCATTGGGGAACATGACAGCTAGTTGGTTATGCTAATCCTGGTATGATAACTCACAGCAACAGGCGTATGCTGATGTTAGCCCGAGGTTATCTCAATACCTGTCAGGAAGGCTGACGGAACTTGAAATTGACGGGGGAGATCTGTTCTTCACTGGATCTACCTCCATCATGTGAGACAGAGATTTCCCCAACTGCCGCCTCAGATCTGATTCATTTTCAAAACCATGCAATGTATAAAATTCACCGTTGACAAAGAAAAGTAGAAAATATATTAGGGTTTCTTTTTTTTTTTACACTCAGTGGGAGTAGGTTTTGTATCTGTTATAAATATATCTATAAAAAACCTACTTTGAGTCAAACCAGTAGAACAAACAAAGGCTTGAATAAAGTATATAGAAGAAGATGGAGATGAATCATTTGTTGGAATTCGATCAGTCTCCAGAGATGAACAAGTAGCCTGAGGGTCCATAGTGTAAAACTACGCCTGGCTGCATGCAGTGTGAATGCAACCTGCTGCTCAGTAAATCTTTAGGGAAATTCCGTGCCAACCTCACTGATTTCTGGTGATTCACAGATCGAGCTGATCGTAGGTTTAAAGTGAGTTGCATTAAGAACACCTGTAGCCACAGGGGAAACGGTGTCAGTCAATCACTCACTCACTCATACCCGTGTTGAATGTTTAGCGGTTTAAAGTGTTGAATGTGAAACTTTCTACCTTTCAGTGAGGACACAGATTTACACTGACCTTCTGCAATCACAAATGCATGTGGGCACACACCTTCTCTTTTCATACTTTTCATCTTCCCATCAACTAAAAGACCTAAAACTCCAATTACATCCACATCTCTAACAATTTGTACTTATACTACAAACAAATAGGAAACTAAACTAAAATCTATTGTTGAATAAATGACCTTTCTTCTGTGTTTTGTGTTTTGCTGCTTAATCTTATTTGGTAATTGAAAGCAATCATCAAAAGTGACCATTGAAGCTCTTGTA